TTTAACCACCATGCCACCTGCCAGCCCCTAAATTAATTACTTACTTTTATCAAATTTAACTGCCAGAGGGTGCACACACTCACTAGAGAGACACAGACAGCAGCAGAGGGAGGAAGGACTTCTTGGTGGGAGGTAGTCATGCAGCAATCCCTTTCCTTCCACTTCTCAGGATTTGGGGTATGCATGCACACAGCCTGATGGGTTTCTCAAGCCACCAGGTCCAAGATTCAAACTGTAGTCAGCCACGTGAGATCCAGCTCTCCAACTGGTAGGCCATGGGGCCAGCCCTGTTTGTTTATTTATTTTATTGTAAATTGACAGTTCAACATTATATTTTTTAAAAAGAATTATTTTACTTAACTTTATTTATTTAAATTTCACCAAAGAGGGACAGAGAGAGAAAGTGAGAAAGCAAGCCACCAGGTCTGGGACTCGAACCACAGTCGGCCATGTGGGAGTCCAGCACCCTTAACCATCATGCCACTTGCCGGCTCCAGCAGCATTATAATTTTTAATGTATTATTATAAATGATATCTGTTTTTTAAGTTACTTTTATTTATTCATTTACTTATTTTTTAAGTTTTTGCCATAGTGTGTGTTTGCCATGGAGAGACAGAGAGAGACAAAGAGAAGAAAAGTGAGAATTCACCCCTTGGGGGGATGGCCACATCACAATCCCCTCTCCTCTCAAGATTTTGGGCACTTACAGATGTGCACACGCACACACCCAGTGTGATTTTTAAGCTGCCAGGTCCAGGACTCAAACCACAGTCAGCCATGTGGGAGTCCAGTGCCCTAACCATTATGCCACCGGGTGGTCCCAGGGATATGGCTGCTTTAACCACCAGACCACAGAGCTGGCCCAACACTGGCTAATATTTATTAATCTTTCCTCCTATTCTTTGGGCTCTTTACCCTGATCCCAAATAGGCAACTGCAGTTCAAATCTTGGCCCCACTGACTTGCAAAGAATGTAGGGGGCATGTGTGTGTGTGCCTCAAATCCCAACAGGATGGAGAAATGGAGGAGAAGGGAATATGGTGTAACCATGTCCCATTGGGGGTACTCTCTCCTTCCCTCCCTCTCTCTGTCAATTTCTCTATCTCTGGGGAAAAAAAAAGTGACTGGGACTGGCAGGTGGCGTGGTGGTTGAGGGTACTGGACTGCCACGTGGCCGACTATGGTTCGAGTCCCGGACCTGGCGACTTGCTGTCTCACTTTCTCTTGCTCTCTCGCTCTGTACCTCTCTGGTCAAAAGTAAAATAAGTAAATAAATAAAGTTAAATAAAATAGTTCTTAAAAAAAAAAGGGTTTAAAAAAAGTGACCAATCCAGTTTTTTATTTGTTTCTACTTTCTTCAGCTCTTCTCTGAAACCAGTAGGGACGTTTATTTATGATTTTATGGAATGAAGTCTCAGGTGATTCAAGAATAATAAATAAAGCTAATTAAAATCTTTAAACTTGGGGCCAGCAGGTGACATGGTGATTAAGGACACTGAATTCCCACATGGCTGCCCATGGTCCGAATCCCGTACCTGGCGGCTTGCTTTCTCACTTTCTCTCTTTCTCTCTCTGCCCCTTTCTGTTTAAATTAAAATAAGTAAATAAATTAAGTTAAGGGGCCGGCAGGTGGCATTATGGTTAAGGTGCTGGACTCCCACATGGCTGACCACAATTCAAGTCCCGGACCTGAGGGCTTGCTCTCTCACTTTGTCTCTCTCTCTGGTCAAAAAATAAATAGATAAATAATAATAATAATAATAATAATAATAATAATAATAATAATAATAATAATAATAATAATAATAATAATAATAATAATAATAATAATAATAATAATAATAATAATAATAAATAAAATTAAATAAAATTGGGAACCAGAAGTTAGCGTAATGGCTATGTCGCTGGACTCCCACGTAAAATAAATTAAATAATTGTTCAAATAAATAACTAAATAATAATTCAATAAAATAATTATTTTTAAAAATTACTTTATTTAACTATTATTTATTTACTTACTTTAATTTGACCAGAGAGGGGCAGAGAGAGAGAGAGAGAGAGAGGGAAAGTGAGAAAGCAAGCCACCAGGTCTAGGACTCGAACCACGGTTCACCATGTAGGAGTCCAGCACCCATAACCACCACGCCACCTGCCAGCCCCCAAAACAATAATTTTTTTAAAAAATCTTTAAACTGAAGGGTTGTAATTTTGTCCTTTGACAGCACCTAGTCTTTCCCAACATACCCTGGCATGCATGCCGTGTGATTATTCCCGTGTCTGTCTTTGTCACTAGAGGTTAAGCTCCTCAGGGGCAAGGACTGTGTCCCTGTCCTTCTTTGCCATACACGCAATCCCTGCCAAGTATCCAGGAAGCGTAGAGGAAACATGAATTAACAGAGGCGGGTCTGAAACCTGACTCCTTTTCATTGATGGGTGGCGCACGCACAGAGAGATATGCACAGACAAACATGCCCTGTCAGGGCTCGAGAGACATTCGAGTAAGTTTTCACAATGGGCACAATGACTTCTTTCAGCTTAAACTTTATTGCTTTGGTTCTCTGGGTGCTGTGGAATGGGGCTGAGACAGGAGCCGAGGAAGCAAAGGGCAGAGTCCAGTCCTGAGCTAGGCTTGGTCAGAGTCACTGAGACCTGGGAGAGGGGGAGAAGGAGGAAAGCGGAAAAGAAGAAGGTCATTGTCAACTTGGAGTCAGCTTTCCTGGCGCCCAGCATGGTCAAATCACCCCCACTCCAAATCTGCTTTGTAATGAGAAGTAATCAAAATCATTCACAAAAAGACAGAGACCATGACCGACCTTCTCATGGAGACGATTCATATTTTCTTCTCCATGGGTCTGGTCACGTGTCTTACTCCTTTCTTGCCCTGTTACAGACACCGCTCCCCAGACTTGCCCCGGGCTTCCCAGGAACCAAGTGTGCATGTGTTTTGGTTTCTCTGCTTCAGTGTTTACATCTTTTTTTTTTTTAAGATAGACTGATTTTTGATATAGTGCATGTCCGCATGTCCGTGCAATGGATAGGCAGAGACCGAGAGACAGCGAGAAATCACCGTGGGGTGGCGGGGCACGCCGCCAACACTTCTCCTCCAATGTCCTCTCAGGATTTGTGGCACACACGCACACGCACCCAGCACGAGCTTTTAAGTCACTGAAGAGAGACTCGAATCACCGTCAACTACGTGGGAGCCCTGCAATCTAACCATTACCCCATCTGCTGGTCCCTTGATGTTTACATCTTAATGAGTGTCTGGTCCCACCCTTAGAGTCTCTCCTTTAGTCCCTTGCTTCTGGGACATATAGATAAACCAAAAGGTTTTCTAGCAGGCCAGGTGGATTCAGGAGACCACTGAGGGACCAGACCATGGTGCAGGTGAAACTCAATGTCCTGTGAGGCTGACCACAGGAGGTGTTTGCACCCAGCAGTCCCTGACTGCTCCAGGCATGCGCCTGCCGGTGATCCAAAGCTGGCTTGGGATGGTTGGATTGTAGTGTCAAAACATGGTGGGGTTTTGACACTACAATCAGTTAGCGCAATGGCTATGTCACTGGAATCCCACGTAGTCGACCACGGTTCACGTCCTGGACCCAGTGGCGTGTGTGTGCGTGCCCAAGATCCCAAGAGGAGAACGGAGGAGAAGGGATTGCGGCGTGGCCATTCCCCCGGAGGGTGATTTCTTGCTTTCTGTCTCTCTGTCTCTCTGTCTGTCTGGTGAGTGCATGTGCCCTATAGCAAAAACCTCTCAAAAAAACAAACAAACAAAAAAACATAGTGGGGATGCTGTCTCTTTGTCTCTCTGTCTCACTCAAGGAAGAAATAAATAAATAAACTAAAAGAGACCATCGAGACCAGTGGCAGGGACACAAAAAGGCGGCGTGGCCCCCCCCCGGGCTTCCCAGGAACCAAGTGTGCATGTGTTTTGGTTTCTCTGCTTCAGTGTTTACATCTTTTTTTTTTTTAAGATAGACTGATTTTTGATATAGTGCATGTCCGCATGTCCGTGCAATGGATAGGCAGAGACCGAGAGACAGCGAGAAATCACCGTGGGGTGGCGGGGCACGCCGCCAACACTTCTCCTCCAATGTCCTCTCAGGATTTGTGGCACACACGCACACGCACCCAGCACGAGCTTTTAAGTCACTGAAGAGAGACTCGAATCACCGTCAACTACGTGGGAGCCCTGCAATCTAACCATTACCCCATCTGCTGGTCCCTTGATGTTTACATCTTAATGAGTGTCTGGTCCCACCCTTAGAGTCTCTCCTTTAGTCCCTTGCTTCTGGGACATATAGATAAACCAAAAGGTTTTCTAGCAGGCCAGGTGGATTCAGGAGACCACTGAGGGACCAGACCATGGTGCAGGTGAAACTCAATGTCCTGTGAGGCTGACCACAGGAGGTGTTTGCACCCAGCAGTCCCTGACTGCTCCAGGCATGCGCCTGCCGGTGATCCAAAGCTGGCTTGGGATGGTTGGATTGTAGTGTCAAAACATGGTGGGGTTTTGACACTACAATCAGTTAGCGCAATGGCTATGTCACTGGAATCCCACGTAGTCGACCACGGTTCACGTCCTGGACCCAGTGGCGTGTGTGTGCGTGCCCAAGATCCCAAGAGGAGAACGGAGGAGAAGGGATTGCGGCGTGGCCATTCCCCCGGAGGGTGATTTCTTGCTTTCTGTCTCTCTGTCTCTCTGTCTGTCTGGTGAGTGCATGTGCCCTATAGCAAAAACCTCTCAAAAAAACAAACAAACAAAAAAACATAGTGGGGATGCTGTCTCTTTGTCTCTCTGTCTCACTCAAGGAAGAAATAAATAAATAAACTAAAAGAGACCATCGAGACCAGTGGCAGCTACAGAAAAAGGCAGCATGGCCCCAACTGCAGGGGTTCCCATCACTGGAAAGGTGCCATGGCCCGAGGGCACAGAGGGCAAGCTGAGAATAAGATGGGCCACTTCTCTGGAATGGGCAGGGGTGAGAGCCTCACCTCACCTGGAGGGAGGTGAGGAGGAAGGTGGCACGGCAATGACAGCTGCTAAGGTTCTGAGCCCTCAACGCTCCTCAGTTGCAGCCCTTGGCTCTTCATTCGCATTGACTTATTTAGACTGCACAGTAATCTCATGAAGTGGTTTAAATAGCTCCGATTTTAACAAAAACACCAAGGGGCAGGAAAGCAGCTAAGTCATTTGCCAGCGTGAGTTGGGTGAGGGATCTGAATCCATGTCTGAAGCCACCCGAAGCAGAAGCTGAGAGTCTCCCAGCCACGGGCTGGAAACCTCGGACCTGCCCACCTGAGGCTGCAGAGCCCTGTCTGTTCCACCATCCAGGCCAGCAGCTCTTGAGTCAGGAAGTCCCTTAGCAAATCTTCATCCCTGGGGGTCTTAGGTGCAGAACTGCAAAGGAGACAGCCTCTTTCAGCCAGGCTTCACCCAGGGACAGTAAATGCAGAGCCTGGGACACCAAAGGGTGCTGTGGGGGGGAGGGGGAGCTGCCTCTCACTTTCCTCAGTGGGTTTTGAGGCATCTTTCTGCCATCTCCTCCTGCTCTGCCTGCCTGGGGAGCACGGGCCCTTCAGTCTGGGCAAAGCTGGGCAGACTGACATCATTGAGGTAAGACATGCCATCCACCTACCTCGAAAGTATTGTACCCCTAGAGGGTACCTCGGGAATTTCAGGAGACGGGACTTGGGAGGACTCCCGTTTCACAAACCCCCTTCTTGAGATGTGGCAGAGCGAAGTCAGGGAGGCCAGGCTATGAGGTCTCTCCTTCCCCGCCTTCTCCTTGACTCGATGACTGCACGCTCAATCATCATCTCAGAAACCCTCTCCCAGGGGCCCTCCAAAGACCTGCCCTATTCCCCTGAGGCTCCCCTCTCCTAAGCTTGGGCTGAGCTCCATGAGTCTGCTCAGTGAAGACGCCTGTGTGGCTGGCCTGAGAGGAAAGGGATGCTCAGGCGGGTCTGTGCCTTGCTGGACGAGGGTGAGGAACAGCCAATGAGGCAGGTCGGGAGTCTCTGCTCCTCCCTTTCCCCTGCAGACTGACTCACCTTGGCTCCACTGCCTCCTCACTCCTCTTAGGCTGACTGGTCAGCTCCTGGGCCCCGGCCTCCCTCTGGGTGATGTTGTGTTTCCAGCTGGTGAGATAAACCTTAGGGTGTTAATATTTTGGTCCTATAATCCTAGGGGCAGAGAGCACCTCTTTCTCCACCCCACATCCCGCTGCCTGTCTTTGGTGAGCAGCTCTGAGCAATCTCCCATGCTGACCCAACAGCGAGGGCAGGAACGAGGCTTGGCACAGGGAAGGACCAGGGCGGTTTTTCCTATTTCCAAAAGTCTGAAGCTGCCACCATCACAGTCATTGCGAGCGTCTCGGCTCCTTCTTCCCTCATCTCCCAGGCTCCAGGGTCCCCGCAGCTCACACACATTTTCTCGACTCCTCCCTCCCTCCAGACAGGACTGCTAACCCAGTCGGCTCCTGACCTGGGCCCCATCCTCACCAGGCACCACCTAGACCTGTGCACTGCGTGGCCCACGTGGCCAGGTGAGGGGCTTGGCCTGCGGTGGGAAGATGGAGCCGGGCAGGTGGACTGGGAGCTGCACAGCGACTTACTCATTCTTCTTCCCCTTCTGGGCCAGCAGCCAGTTCACGAAGTCTTGCTGGCGGATCTTGTCCATGGCAATACTGTAGTCACTGATGAAAGTGCCCTCGGCATACCTGGGGCCTCGAGGTCGGGGGCCGCTGACCTTCGCATAGGGTCTGAGGGAAGTGTGGGGGGGAGACCACGATGCCCGAGAAGGGGCAGAGGGGAAAGAATTACAATGCTAGGATAAACAATTGTCACTAACAGGAGACAGACATTTAAAAATGAACCAGCCTGGGGGACCAGCAGTTAGCATAATGGCTATGTTGCTGGACTCCCATGTAGTCGTCCACGGTTCAAGTCCCGGACTAGGTGGCTTAAACTCACGCTGGGCATGTGTGCGTGCATGCCCAAGATCCTGAGAGGAGAATGGAGGAGAAGGGATTGCTGCATGGCCATCCCCCTGGGGGGTGAGTTCTTGCTTTCTGTCTCTCTGTCTTTCTGGTGAACACATGCGTCCTATAGCAAAAACCACTAAAAAGAAAAAAGCAAGGGACAGTGAATGGTGGGCGTTAAGTCAGCTGGGTCCTACATGGCCAGCTTGCAGTCTGAATCTCAGCCTGGTCACTTGAAAATCACACCAGGCACATGTGCGTGTGTGTGCCCAAAATCCAGAGAGGAGAATGGAGAAGGAGTTGTGGTGTGACCATTCCCAGCCCGAAAGTGATTTCTTACTTTCCTTTTCTCTTTCTCTGTCTCAGTCTCTCTCTGGCGAGCACAGCTTCCTATAGTAAATATTTTTTTAATTAATTTTTTGAAATTTAACTTTATTTAATTATTTATTTATTTAAAAAATTTGACCAGAGAGGGGCCAAGTGACATAGCCAGTGAGAGGGAAAGTGAGAAAGCAAGTCACCAGGCCTGGGACTCGAACCACAGTTAGCCATGTGGGAGTCCAGCGTCCTTAAAGACCATGCCACCTGCTGGTCCCCCTATAGCAAATATTAAAAAAAAAAAAGGAAAGAAAAGAAAACAATTGGGACCAGTAGTAGGCGTAACGGCTATGTCATTAGACTCCCATGTAGTTGACCACAGTTCACGTCCTGGACCCGGTGGCTTAAACTCACGCTGGGCATGTGTGCATCTGTGCCCCGGATCCTGAGAGAAGAATGGATGAGAAGGGGTTGCGGTGTGGCCATCCCCCTGGGGAGGGTGATTTCTCACTTTCTGTCTCTCTGTTTCTGTCTGTCTTTCTGGCAAGCGCACATGTCCTATAGCAAAAACCTCTCAAAAAAAAAAAAAAAAGCAAAGAAAGAAAAAAGAAAGAAAGAAAAGAACCAGCCCATTTTATTTGGAAGCTAGTTTTGTGGAGATACCCTGTCAATGTATAAACCTCTGGGACTTTTCCTTAGCTCAAGGGCCCACTTCTTGCATCCCTAGTATGTGTGGCTCAGGGTTCTCGGTGAAAAGAGATCAAGGGTCCCCCTCATCCCAAAGGACTGAATCACACAGTTCTCCCCTTTATTCCACTTGCCCAGGCCCTTCCTGATTCAGTTCCTTGATTCATATTCAATAATAATAAAAGTGAACTCACATGGAAGCACTTGCTATGACTCGGTCCTCAGTCAGCCCTTTACTATATAAAACCATTTCAACCTTACAACACCCCTAGGAGCTGCACTTTTCTTTTCTTTTCTTTTTTTGGAGAGGTTTTTGCTATAGGGTGAGTGCGCTCACCAGAAAGACCGAGAGAGACAGAGAGATAGAAAGTGAGAAATCACCCCCCAGGGGGGATGGCCACGCTGCAATCCCTTCTCCTCCATTCTCCTCTTGGGATCTTGGGCACGCACGCACACACACCCGGAGTGAGTTTAAGTCACTGGGTCCGGGACTCAACCGCGGTCGACTACATGGGAGTCCAGAGACATAGCCATTACACTAACTGCTGGTCCCCTCGTTGCACTTTTTTCTTTTTTTTTTTTTTTTAAATTTTACTAGAAGGTACATGTGCTCACTTGAGAGAGAAAGAGAAATCACCCACCGGGGGATGGCCAGCCATAATCCTTTCTCTTCTACTCTCCTTTCAGGATTTGGCGTATGCATACACATGCTCCCGGAGTGTTTCTCAAGCCGCTGGGTCTGGGACTCGAACCTCGAACCTCACAGTTAGCCATGTGAGATTCAGCTGCCTTAACCACCACACCATCAGCTAGCCCAACGCCATTGTTTTATATTAGGGACTTGAGCATCTACTGATTTGGGTATGAAGTCTTAGAACCTGTGGGTACCAAGGGATGAACACATATTCTGGGGTCTTCACCACATGTGGACTGCTAGGAGGTTTCTCCTGAGAGCAGCTTTCTGCTCAGCCTGGGATCCCTCCCTTTCTCACCTCCCTTGAAACAAGTCTAGAACCCGGTCAGCCGCCTCCTCTGCCTGCCCCTCCCTTCCCACCCCGTTACCTGGAGTGATGCTCCTCCTTCTCTCCTAGCCCCACCGCCAGGAACAGAAACACCAGCAGCAGAGAGAAGGTCTTCATGGCCACCATCTCCCAAGGCTATTTCCTGAGCTAAGCAAGAAAGGGCCAGGATGAGGTGGAAGCCACGTGCCAGGGGAATAGCCAGCAGGCCACGCACTATCTGGTCCTCAGAGACGGGTGCATTCTGAAATCCGGGGAGGGGCCCAGCCCTCGACTTTGGGCCTTTCTCACAGGCTGGAGTAACACCTTGGGGACGTTGGGGGGTGCTGAACATTAGAGCAAGTGACTAGAGGGGTTCGTAGGTTCCAAGCGGGAACTGCTTAATAGCACAAAGCAAACAAAAACCAAAACTTCTTTCTTTCTCCCATGAGTGACAGACACAGAGAGCAAGAGAGAGCAAGAGCACACCCCTAGTAGGATCAACCCCTCAATCCACCCACAGCTTCAGCTAGCAGCTCACAGGCAAGCACGTTCCCGGCGTACTCAGGGAGGTTTCCAGACCTAAACTGGGCACCTTCCCATGTGGGAAGAGCCCACCCTCTGGCCCCCATCGATGCACCTGCTTTCGGTTTTGTTTTGCAGTGGAGTCTGAGTAGGAGAGAGGAGGGCAGTGGGGAAGAGCTCCAGGTAAAATGAAGCAGCGACCTCTGTGCCTGGACATCCCCCTTTCCCTGGCACCCATGGCTAGACATCACAGGCAGTGGTTGGGCAAGATTCTGCCCTTAGCATCCTCCAATCAGGTCAGCCTGCCTTCCTGCTTTCCTGCTTTCCTGCTTTCCAATTGGCCGTCACCTAAATCACCACAGCCCTCTTGCCCTAGATGGACAGCACCCACGGAGCCATCCTAGTCTTCCCTCCACTGGCTTGACCGAGAAGAGAAGGGAAGTCCTTTCTGAAGTCTGCTCTATAACTTTTTCTCCTGAAGGCCTGACCCATTTCATCCAGTGGTCTTCAGTAGAGATGAAGAACAACTAAGAATCTTCCACCCAAGCCCTGAAGACCATAGCAGATAGAGATCTGTGGGTTGCAGGACCTGATCTTCCTGCTTTGTCAAGGGAGTGTTAAAGGAGCCCTCAGAGCTGCCTTCTTATTTCCCATATGGAGGAAGAGGGTGTGGAGCGTCCCTGCGTGGCCAAGATCCACCTCCTTCCAGGTCACCGTCCATCCCCATCCCAGTCCGTCTCTTACCAGACTTCCTCTACGGCTCTTCCAGGAGAAGGATGGGATGGAGTCTCTTCCTCCTGTCTTCTGGACCTCTGGAGCCTGCCTCAGAAGAGTCTGCTTGGCTCCTTTATATGGAGGCATCAAGATCCTTTGATTAGCCTGAAAGCATTTTATCTCAACTAATTAAGCCCACAGCTCCCGCCCCATTAAGTCCATTTCACACGTAATAAAGTTGCTCTTCCACCTGAACTGCCTTAATTGGTGATTAACATTTGGATATCTCCAGCTGCTCTCTGGGGCCCCGTCTGTAAGCAGGGAACCCCAAGAACCCTCTTTTCCCTTCTCCCCCGCTCCTTTCTGGCCACAGGGTCTACTTTTCTACTATGCCCTACTCCATTATAGGTGCCTCAGTTAGAAAGGGTCCACTTGGTGAGGGCAGACTTGAGCTAGGACGGCACTAAGTGTGGGGGTGGGGGGGTGCTCCCACACAGCAATAGGCTACTTCTAGATGGGAGGAGTGGGGCCATGGTGGTCCTAATCCCAGCTCTGGACAGCAGCCCCTGGCTTTGGCACTGACCCCATCATTATATCTAAGGGGATGCTGCAGCTTGCCAGGAAAAGAGCTGGGGAATGTTGAGGGAACCGTGAAGGACAGGGGTTTCCTGGTGATAGCGGGGTCAACTGAGAATTTGCAGTCGGGACCAGCTGTTAGCGTAATGGCTATGTCGCTGGACTCCCACGTAGTCGACCGTGGTTCACGTACTGAACCCAGTGGCTTAAAACTCATGCCGGGCGCGTGTGCATGCGTGCCCAAGATCCCGAGAGGAGATCGGAGGAGAAGGGGTTGCGGCGTGGCCATCCCCCTGGGGGGGGTCATTTCTCGCTTTCTGTCTCTATGTCTCTCCCTGTCTCTCTGGCGAGCGCACACGCCCTATAGCAAAAACTCTCTCTCCAAAAAAAAAAAAGAG